AAGTGTAAGTCGAACCCCAGATCAGTTGAGCATTGTTTCTCCCTCTCTGGGAATGCAGGGGCATGTAACTGCATGCTTTGGATAAAGTTCAAGAGATGAAATATAAACCACATCATAATACATTGCTTAGGGCCATAATTCCACACAGGTGAACCCAGCTTTTCTGCATTTTGACCACCCATATCTCATATGAAAGGATAAAGTACAGTTTCTTAGCAGTCTGTGTAGTGGGGCATTTGCTTTATCATAAGTCTGTTTCCACACATGAATGGAGGTGAATGGCATGCCAATACCTGACCCAGGCCCCAGTGAAGTCTAGACTGAGAGCATCTATATACACACATCTTGTACAAACTCTCTGCTACATGTTTATCATGGCTGACAGTGGGTGGTAAGTGTGTCTCTTTCACTGTGTGTGTGTGTGTGTGTGTGTGTGTGTGTGTGTGTGTGTGTGTGTGTGTGTGTGTGTGCCTGAGCTGAATAGGATTAGACTGGTAACTCTTTAATGACATATCAGCCAATCAAAAATGGATGTTTCTCCCTGATCACTCATATGAAAGCATTCAGCAAAAACCTGACATGTACTTTTTATCAGTACTGTAGTATCACAGAATACCACTGAATAGGTGCAGTGGGTAACTTGACTTTAAGGGAATACATCAGCATTTTTGGAAATATGCTGATTCACTTTGTTTCAGAGAGTTAGAGGACAACTTCGATACCTTTATTATCTCTGTGTGTAAAGTACAAAGCTGGGGCCTTATTTATGGAATGCATTTCAGATAAATTTTGATCTTAGGTATGACTTAAGCAGAAAAATACATATATAAGTAGCTATTTATAAAACCTTACTTTGACACGGAAGTTATCTTAATTCTAAGCAACATCTACACATGATGGAAGTGATTTTCCAGCTGGTTATGTCAGGTTAATTATGCATTAGCTTTATGAACATGGGTTGCTGTGGCTCAGAGGCAGAGGTCAATTACGACCATTAAAGAAGCTCTTTTACTATAAAGCACAGTTTATTGGTCTATTCTATATAAAAATATATTTTTCTGCAAAGTGAGAGTAAAATAATCTGATAATTAGCCTGTTCAGCCACTGTCAGTAATCAATGCATACACATTACGTTTTAAGTATGATAAAGACAACTTTATCATACTTAAAGAACAATTTAAAATATACATAGCAGTGAAAAGCTCCCTGTGCTTTAACAATTCCTAATGTCAGTAAAAACATGTAGCTCTAGAAATACAAGCTAAAGGGCGTCATATGTTGTAATTTGAGATTCATAGATCGCAGGTAAGTAAGTTACAAATGGGCTTCTTACAACCTGCTTAATAAAGCTCAGAATCTTTTATGAATCAAACGTAAGCACACTGACAACTAGCTTAGCTGAAAAGACTCCAGGCGGGAGTGAATAGCTAGCCTGGCTGTGTCCAAAGTTTGTATCTACTTTAATCTGTATACAAAGAGAAACATAAAAATGCCAATTTGTGGTTTAAGGTGGAGTTACATACTATAACTATGCCAGGTTAGTACCATCATGCCTGTACAGGGACCAATCCAAAACCTGTGTTCCCCAATGGTACAGTGAAAGAAGTCTTTCCCTAAAACTCTAAATTTTAGGTAAGTTTTTAATTTTTTTTTCTCTTTTAGCAACATTTTCATCCCTGTTATGCATGTTTTCCCCCCAAGAGAAATAGTCCCTGTGAAATCAGATTAGGAAGAGATTAATGTTGCTGTTGTTGTATTTATAACAATGAGAAAATATGTTTTTTGTCAATAGTTTCAAGTTTTATTGAGATCCACATTAAACCAAAGATATTTTTACCCATATTAGTCAAACAAAAAGTCAAGCTCAACAGTTTCCAGCCACTGTGCTGATAAGGTCAACTGGGTGGAAAAAGGATCTCAGAGTTATAGAGGCCTGGCTACTGGAGAGTTTTTTTCTTTTCTTTTCATGGCAGGATGTGTTAAGCATTTGGTTAATGATTAATCTTCTGGTATAATCTGATCATAATCTTCTACATCTACAGAAGTGACAACTGATTGGCTCACTATAGTTCACTGTCACAGCTGCAAAGCCACATATGCCATCAGTTTGAATGCGTCAGTGTGTGTTACCTTTACAGCTGTGGTTTATGTTGCTTTTAAATTTCTCAGAATGTGTAAAAACAAGACTAAAATTATTAAAAACATCAAATATTTACTATATATACATATAAATATATAAACAGATACAGGGCATAGCTTGGCCTAACATACCATTCTTTTCATTGTTCTAAATTTTTGTCGCATTACAAAAAACATGTGATGCTGCATTAAACTTTTCATATGATAAAGAAAAGAAATTTAATAAAGTTATAACTAAGCATTGACAAATTTGAACAACCACTTTGGCTTAGTTTACAGATGTACTCAAGATCTGCTATAAGCTATAATTCAGCAAAGGGAACTACAGTGTGTACTCTGATCATATAGGATTGCAGACAAACAGCCATTACACACCCGCAGTGTGACACATAACACATGTTCATTATCCTGTGTCAAACACGTGTGTGAAAGTGGCTTAGGTAATTCTACAGGCACGAAAAACAAACTTGGTTACACTTACATCATATAGTCAGGTCCCCTAAAATTCACTCATGAATTTACAAAAAGGTAACTAAGGGCGATAGAGGAATTTTCCACCACAATTACTTACAGTATGTAGCAGTGTAGACAAGGTTTTGAAACCTTTAAATTAAGTTAAATAAATAAAGTTTTCTCCACACACAATCATAACAGAGAAAAACACAGCTGTTATCTGTAGATTTGTGCAAATAACGTAAATGTCATGCTGTGGGGAAATTTGCAATTTTTACGTCTGTATTACTTCACAGTTGCCACACTGTAAAATCCCTATTTAGCCTCCTCCATCATGACACCTGATCTAGTTTGAGGGTTCTCTTCCATCATTGAGTAAACTGACCAAGCTACATATTTTATGGATATTTCATTTTATATTCAATGCATAACAATAACAGTAGAGAACAACTGATGGATCCAAACAGTGAACACTAACTGCAGGAAGTCTGTGAGATTAGTAAGAATTTTGAGCAGATTATTTTCTATGAGATTCATTTTCATGATATTAGGAACTTCTTTGACAATTATCTGTCTGTATTATGTATTTTTTTTATTTTTAACAACCAAACATACTTAATAGGCTTCTTTTGGACAAACTCAGTGTGTTCTTCTCATTGTTCTATTAGCTCTTTGGTTGTTTTAACTGTGTATGTTTCTAATGCAGGATGAGAGTTTCTCAGAAGGTGAAGGCTCTGTGACTATACCTTGTGTTCAGGTTTTCATCGTGTCCATAAATGATGATCTAAACTTAAATAAGAACAATTTCATTTAGGTCCCCCCCCCCCCACAGAAATATATATGTATATATATACATATATTTTAAGTTTTCTTTCACCCCTTAAAATTAAGAAGGCCTTGCGACTGCCTGTGAAGCTGTGGCGACCGCCAACCTTCTGATTAGCTCTCTGTTTCTTTCCACAGTGAATAGACTGTACTTATATAGCGCCTTTCAAGTCTTCCAACCACTCAAAGTGCTGTTACACTACATGCTACATTCACTAGTTCACACATATTCACAAACAGAATCTAATTCATTCATTCAAATTCAGTATCTTGCCCAAGGACACTTCGACATGCAGCTGCCTGGGATCGAATCGACAACCTTCTAATTAGTGGATGACCTGCTCTACCTCCTGATCCACAGCCGCCCAACAGTCTTTCCAACAATCACCACCTCTGGTTTGGGAAAAATAAACCCTTAATTCACAGAGTTACTTGCAATGAAGGCAACATAAGATAATCTGCTATCGCTCGCCACCAGACACCATAGACAAAAACGCTAATTTTAGCTAGGGTATCGTAACATTGTAAACAAAATGGATGGAAACAACATAAAACTCACAAGAACAGTCTTTGTTAGTCTTTCCACTGTTCCAACAATCACAAACCCTGGTTTGGTGGAAATAAAGAGTAGATGAGAAAAACAGCAGTTTGAGCCGCTCTACTTGGCTGTAAACGGAGAACTTACATGCACTAACAGGGACGCATGGCCAGACTGGCTTTACAAACAAACCAGAGAGTGGTTGCCAAAGCAACACAAGAAGAGGGGACAGTGACGTTGTTCTCTGCTTTATCAGTGTTTTTAATCTTATAACCTTAAAGACAAGTTATCTGCTATGATAAATGTTAATAAATTCATAGATGGTTCTTATAATGCAAAATGTCATAATGGAGGCGGTTTATCACCAGCATTAGGGATTTTTTACAACCTGGCAACCTTTTGTTTCGAACTGCACTACAAGCCTCTAAACCCTTTTAATGTGTGTCTTATGGACTATTATTAGGTTAGAGGTTATTCTAGTTGGGACAGAAAAATAAGAGTTTTTTGAAGGTAAGGAGCTCTTCTGCTGAGTTAATGTGAATAGACCTATAAAAAGAGCATTGACTATGTTACAGCACATCAACCGCTGACACTGAGAGGAATAAGGCAAAAGACAGGTTCAAATGGAAAACAAATGCCACTGTGCAACAGGTAGCCTAACGGGTTTTCCATTATTAGAGAGGGAATTTTTATACTGTGGTTGTGGTTGTAGATGGATACCCAGGAAACACTTGTCTGATTTCCCCCACACTAACGGTGCTAAAGTGAGTTTTTAAAAGAATTTAAAAGGATAAATGTAGGCTACTCCCTATCAAATAAAACGATCTGAAATGGTAAAATTGTTTATTTAGGTTGTTAAAACAAAAACAATAATAATACAGTACAAGAACAATTTAGGAGGTCTTAAAGTTGTAGTTTGCAAAGTTAATTTAGATCATGTAAAAGAAATGAAGAGCGGTTTGGGATGAACAGTTAACATTACCATACTGTATGAGTATCGAACGAATGTCCACACAGAGGCAAAGACACTTGAATTTTTACTTACCAAAAGGCTCCTTATACGCCCTCAAACTACTCATTTTAGAAGTTGTGGAGTCTCCCATGCAGGGAAATGTATGAGTATGATTGATACAAACTGTCTATGTAACGTTAACAGATCAAAAAGAGACGGTAATCCTTCACACGGAGCTCAGAGAAAGCGCTAATGCCAGCCCGGTGGCGGCGGCTCAGACTGATGAGATACCTCAGTGTAAAGGTACCAGGATCACTGTTGCCTTCATGGTCCGCTCGTAAATTCAACACTCAGTTTCAGAAGTTGTTACTGGTTGGCTGTCTGTAGATACTTTTGTTGAACGATATAACTTTTCTACTATTACGTTTAAGGATATTAGTACTGATGATTTTCCGGTTAAAGTTGGAGTTCTATTCCATATTTGTAAGTTTTTATCATAAAAAAGAAAACAGTTTTCCTTATTAATGCTGGTGAGATATTACGGTGGACGACTTTGTTCCTTATAAACTCCGTTAAAATGCTGTATTAATAAAGGTTCTGCCATGAGATATGATGGTCTTTCACTGTTACAGAAACTGCATTTAACTTATTTAGAGTTTACGGTCTTTTACTGTCATGGTTAAACAGTTTTCAACTTTTTTTACAGTGTAGGCAAAATTTTGGCGATGGAAAAACTGGCATGGCCATTTTCAGTTATTATTTGACCTCTGACCTCAAGATATCTGATTGAAAATGGACATAAACATTACTGGAATTGCATAAATTGGGAGTGACAGAAAGCTGAGACACAGACTTCATGGGAGATGAAGATTATGACTATGATGTTTTATGATGATAATACTACTGCTACTACTACTACTACTACCACCACCACCACTACTACCACCACCACCACTTTCTTAGCCACACCCGTTCCCAGCCCCTTCCCCTTGAAGGTCAGATCCTCTACCCACTCACCTAAACCAGAGTCTCATTCACACACACATACAATAAAAACAATATAAAACCAAAAACTACACTAACAAGGAAAATACAATACAAATACAACTGTATACTTGCAAACTTCACATACTACAAATAGTGAGCTCAGTTGTTTGTTGATTCTTGGTTGATTTTTTTTTTCTTTTTTACACGACTCAAAATCAATAAGGCCCCTTGCCTTTGACAGCCACTAGCTGGGGCCCCAGTGCAGTAGGATATAATACAAATCTACTATAAGTTTATGAAAGGATGTTAATTTAGAGCGGACAAGCACATTGATTTGATTGACATTTTAAAGGATTTAGTGGCATCTAGTGTACTTGCTGCTCCCTCGCTTCACTCTCCCCTTCTAAGTGTGCAGGAGAAACTACAGCAAAACTTGCAACAAACATAAAAGGCTTCTATCTCAAGCCAGTGTTTGGTTTGTAGAAACATAGCAAATTCTTATATTCAGGTCATTATACACTAATGAAAACATACTTATGAATAATTTATTCAGTTTCTGCCAATAGATTTAGAAAAGATATAGAAAAATAGAGTGTTTTTGTGTGTGCGCATGTATGTCAAACTGGGTGAATTAGCTCATCTGGCATGGGCAGTATAGGCAAATGCTAAGGGTGCCGTCCATCTAGGGGGCGCCACAATGGGGGAAGAAAAAAAAAACAAAAGGTGCAACTTTCAATATTTTTATACTAAAACAAGTTGATGCTATTAATTCAATTCAATTTTATTTGTATAGCACCAATTCATAACAGAAGTTATCTCAGGACACTTTTCAAATAGAGCAGGTCTAGACCGAACTCTTTATAAAATTATTATTTCTTAGTATGAAAAAAACAAGCCCACATTAATTTAACTGTATAGCAAAGCCTATTAAATAATAATAAGACTTTATTAAGCCCCCTGCCCCCCCTCCTCCTCTACCTGCTCTCTGGGAGATGGTTGAGTTTTCTGAGGTGACCCCAGAAACCATTAACAATGTCAAAACCACCAAAACTTTTCCGGTGCCCAGGGAAGGAAAAAAAGAAGAGGAGGAAAAACGCGACAAAGACAGAGGTAGAGTAAAGATAATGTGATGAAATGATTTGCCTGTTACAGAACGATAGTAACCTTTAGTCTAACACGGTTTGCTAATCAATAAATAGCGTTACCTCGTTTTAATGTCAGTTCATGTTATGGAGGGGCCGAACAGCTGTTATGGAAAAAAGTAATACTCCCACCTTCTATTTCTCAGGGACATTTGTAAAGAGTAGATCTATTCAGCAGGTGTTTATATTTGTCTACATTTTTATTTTTATTTATTATTGGTTAGCTAACGTTTGCTCTGCTTGTAACAGTCAGTCAAATGCTATTCCTTTCACACACCTTTATATATTAGAGTTGGAAGCCTTGTTGTTTGTTGTGTTCAGTATCGTCTAAAGTGTGTTTATAGTGTTATATTTTACATCCATGTTAAAGTGCACATCATTAATGTTAAAACATTCCCATATGTTATATTATACTGCAGTTTACTGCTTCTTTGCATTCTGCTCATCAGCATTTCACTGTAATGACAATAAGATTAAATCTAATCTAATTTGCATATCAGAAAAAATTGCACCGTATATCATTCATGTACAGTACAGTGAAAGTAATGCATCTCTTAGGTTTTTCATTTTTATTATTTAATTTTATTCTTGGAATCATTTCTTTTATTATTAGACTGTAACACCCAACTCTTCCTGTTACAGTGGCTGCTGCTGAAAGAAGCTTCTCCAAGCTCAAACTCATTAAACCTTACCTGAGAGCTACTATGATGCAACAACTCAGTGGACTTTCCATCATAAGCATCAATCATGTGGTCTCAAATCAGTTGTCATATGATGATGTTGTAGATGACTTTGCTGCAAGAACGACTAGGAGAGTACAACTGTAGCAGGTGATGTGAGGGTGATTAGGTGGTGGTGTAGTTTAATTTATTTTATCACTCGTTTACAGTTTTTATTTTGTGGGTAGTTATATTTTATACTTTGTGTGGGCTATTTTATTTCTTGTATTATTTATTTCTAATTTATTATTTTCTTGTTAACTGTTTTGATTGAGCAACTTGTTTCTCTGAAAATAAAATAAAATGTCAAAGACAAAGCTATTCAGTTTCTTGCGTGAGTATATGTATGTATATAACTGGCAGTGGAATTTATTGCGATGCAAGAGGGGCGCCACCTAAAATCTTGCCTAGGGCGCCAAATTGGTTAGTGCCGGGCCTGAATTAAACCCGCGCACCGCCATTCATTCAGAAAATTAAAAACACCCGTGGGAAAAGAGAAGGCTGCACATCACGGACACTAGATGCAAGACTCAGAAAGACGTTATACTGCCTTCTCTGTTTGTGTTTAAAAATCACACTATTTTCGACGTGACATACAGTGACCTGTCAATCAACTGGGGTGGCACCCGAGGTGTCCAATCAGGTTCCAGTGGCTACCCCGGCCACCCCTCTAGCTCCGCCCCTGCACACGTTTCCCCATGTTCTGAGTGAAGGATGTGGGTAAAGATTTCTAGGCAATGTTTTAACTCCTCTAGGTGTGAACATTCACACAATAAAGGAGGGTTGAAAACATCATGACTTTTTGAACTGCGACTGTGTAAGAGTATGAAGAAAAGTTGAATCAATGTTAGAAAGTCCCATAATAAGATAGTTATTCACGTCGGCGGTAATGACACCCGATTACGTCAATCGGAGGTCACTAAAATTAATGTGGAGTCGGTGTGTAATTATGCAAAAACAATGTCGGACTCCCTAGTTTTCTCCCCCTGCCCAATGTGACCAGTGATGACATGTAAGCCACATGTTGTCATTCCACCGCTGGCTGTTGAGGTGGTGTCCAGAAAACAATGTGGGCTTCATAAATAGCTGGCAGCCTTTTTGGGGAAAACCTGGTCTGATTAGGAGAGACGGCATCCATCCCACTTTGGATGGAGCGACTCTCTTATCTAGAAATATGGCGAAGTTTATTTCTAAAACCTGACAGTCCAGAGTTAGGACCAGGAAGCAGAGCTGCTGTCTTACACACTTCTCTGCGCTTCCATTAGAACAGTCACCCACCCAAAACCCCATAGAGACTGTGTCTGTCCCCCGACCACCTAAACTATTTAAAGAAATAAAAACAAGAGGAATTGAAAAAAAAGAACCTAATAAAAATTAAAACAAACTCCACAGGAGCACAAAATAAGAGAATGAAATGTGGACTGTTAAATATCAGGTCTGTGTCATCTCAAGCTGTTCTAGTTAATGAATTAATATCAGATTATGACATTGATTTACTTTGTCTTACTGAGACCTGGCTGTGCCATGATGAATATGTTAGCCTAAATGAGGTGGAGTAGCATCCATATATGATTCAAGCCTTTTAATTGATCCTAAACCTAAATTAAATTATAATTCATTTGAAAGCCTTGTTCTTAGTCTTTCTCACCCAACCTGGAAAACACTGCAGCCAGTTCAGTTTGTTATAGTGTATCGCACTGCTGGACCGTACTCTGATTTTATGAGTTTTTACCAAGTTTAGTCCTTAAATCAGATAAAGTAATCATTGTAGGCGATACAATGACAGCTTTAGTAATGCATTTATCTCATTAATAGACTCAATTGGCTTCTGTCAGAGTGTAAATAAACCAACTCATTGTTTTAAACACACTCTTGACCTCGTTCTATCATATGGCATTGATATTGAACATTTAATAGTCTTCCCACAAAATCCTTTTCTATCTGACCATTATTTAATAACTTTTGAATTCCTATTACTAGATTACAAGCCATTAGGCAAAACTTCCTACAGCAGATGTCTATCTGACAGTGCTGGAGCTAAATTTAAGGAGGAGATTCCATCAGTGTTTAATTCAATGCCATGTCTGAATTTAACAGAGTCCTATAACAACTTTAGTCCCTCCCAAATTGATCATCTTGTTAATAGTGCTGCAGGCTCACTACGATCAACATTAGACTCTATCGCTCCTATAAAGAGTAAAATACTAAAGCATAGGAGACTAGCACCGTGGTACAATCACCAAACCCGCCAATTAAAGTAAAAAGTGCAGAAATCTGAAAGGAAATGGTGCTCTTCATAATTATTAGAATATCGCTCAATTTGGCAAGATAATCTTAAAACCTATAGAAAGGCCCTCCGTAATGCTAGGGGAGCCTATTATTCAGCACTAATAGAAGAAAATAAGAACAACCTCAGGTTCCTCTTCAGCA